GGACCAGAATCCACTGGCACTGAAAACTCCTTTTTCATGTCCAGATGCAAGTTTCAGTGTGCAGTGAAGCCGAAGGTCGATGCCCTTTGAAGTACTCCTGAAGCACTGTCCAGATTTTTATTAGCCAAAACAAAAAAACTCTGGCAGGGGGCCGAGCATTTTCCACTGTGCTCAGATCAGCAAGAACAGAATCTAAAGGTTTGAATGTGGATCTCTCCATTGACAGAGATGGAAAACATCCTGATGTTACCATCACTGTACTGCGTGTACTATAATATTAAACATGACCTCCAAACACAGTGAAGCAATGTTTATAAGAACTACATTTACATGTACTTTTATCCATGTACTGTTCCTTAAGTACAACTGGGAGGTAAGTATTTTAATCTTATACTACTTTAAACTTCACTACATTTCAGAGGTAAACAGCACGTTTGTGTTTTTGTAGTATAAATGGATGTATCAAGTGACAACATATCAGTAATTTACCCTTATCACTACTTTCTAATGGAGGAACAACCCCCTGCTGAAATTAAAGGATATGTTCTTGGAAACAAAGTTGTGATCAGCACAAACAGAATTCCATTCACCACCATCACATCGGGGTGGAGGCACCAAAACCTGCATTGCTAGTACCACTAAAGTGAAATAGGAAAACAGCTTAGTTTTTGTCATTTTGGGTGAACTGCTCATTGAACGGTAGGTTTAATGGGTTAACCAGAGAGAGTTCACCATTAATAATGTCCAACATGCATTAATTAGCCCTGAGCACTGTACTACATAGTACTGTCTTCCTCTGGACTCACTGAACTTCATGCTGCTATATTTTTATACTCTTGTGGACTGACAATGGGAAAACGGGTGCTTGGTGCAATTGACCCCCCACATGCATACACAATTACTGAAATGCAGCACAACAATCTCTTTACTGTGAGCATTTGATTAATCAGACACAGAAGCTCTGGCTCAGGGCTCTTTGGTCCCCTAGGCTGGAGCCTGGTTGGATCATTTGCTGAGTGTGCATTCAAAAGTGGATGCTAGTGACTGTAAAGAAAGCACTAAATGCTGTTTCATGTAATGGCCAAGATATACAATCAGAATGATCTGACCACCTTCTAATCCTGCTTGAAAAACCTCTGCTCAGTCCAAAAGCTTCAAGGCCACAAAGGTGGACCTGGAGTCGGGTTGTTCCAGTTCCTATAGTCTAAAACAAAATCTTGACCCAACAACTGCTCTGGCAGTTTAACGCTTGTAAGCGTGTTGTGGTTTGAAAGAAAAAGTATTACCCATCTAACAATATACTCAAAACAAATCCCTTGAAAGGCTACTTTGGGAAAAATCAAATTTCAGACAACGGAAATAGTTGAAGCAGATCCTGCATCTCATACTCTTTATTCATAATTTCCTCTTCAAACACATTTTCCAGATGTACATTTCCATTCAAAGGAAAAAAATAAAGTGAGGTAAAAGTGCCAAAAAATGAAATAGTATAATAGTTGTAACCATCGTCACAATCAGAAAGCTGACAGAAAAGCTCTTTACATTAACTATTTCAAAAAATACATAGTGTGACAAATTTCACATCTCCCCCTACTTTCTGAACTTGCATATCCACAGGCATTCCTTCATACACACATGCCAATGATCACACATGCCTCCACACATGAACAAACCTGCTGGAGAAAAAACAAAACAAAAAAAACTACTCTTCGTACAGAAGCTGGCAGAGAACTTCCGGAGAGCCTCTGTTACACTCCTAGAGTCTAAGACTTGCACTTTAGACACGTGTAACCACCAAGTCTCTAATCCAGTTTTCTCTGCAACCCCGCCAGCAACAAGACATCTGCAAGTGTCAATGAACACACAATCCAAAGTGTCCAAAGAGGCGGCGAGTGAGAGAAGCAACAGGATTCATAACAGCAACAAGTTTACAGCAGAGGGGGGGGGTGAAGTGGGGACCAGAAAATAATGAGGCAAAATACATTTTTCATTCACACCAAGTTGATACACTGAGATACAAACATCAGCCCTGACGAAAGAGGTGATATAGCATGAGCACTGCTGCCCCCCCACTCTTATCTAGTGAGGAGGTAAAGCTGTCATCAGCAGGCATGTCTTCAGTTGCCAGGTAAAAGCCACAATAACCGTAAACATGGTGAAAATTGGGTGGACACAAAATGCAGAAACGAAACAGCATCGTCTGGTTTGTTGCATTGTCTTTTACCTCGCTCATGACTATTTCTAACTGAGCAATGTCAACAAGAAGACCAGGAGCATACAAGGTCTTTCCGTTTGCAGCAGACTTCAAAAGGCAACTGGGAGCTGCAACGTCACCGGCTGCTGGTTTAGAATATGGCTCTAAAGCTTAATTTATCATTACTCCAGGACAAGAAACCCAGGAATGTTTGAGAGATTCTGGGCGGCCACTGTCTCAAGGGAATTGGGCAGTGAACTGATGTTTTTCCCACTGGCTTTTAAAGACGGCAAGGATCATCTTTGGATTAGGAGTACGGTGATAAATCCAGCTGTGAGCACTCAATGAGGGAACTATCCATTGACTGATGAAGGGGTTTTGGAGCAAATGAATGCACAGATAAAACAGCGCTGCCATCAGACCCAAGCAGGCTCAAGTCTGCTGGTTACCTCTATGTTCAGGCCTAATCTATGACAAGAACCTGTTTGGGTAAGAAGAGGAAAGTCAGTGCTACAATTACTACCAAAGAGGACACAAAATAAAAGGAGAATTAGGAGGGGGCATCTTAATGTCAAAGGCAGATTAAACCAATTCAGACTCCAAAACAAAAAGAGATAAAATAAAGCCCTCAAAAAAAAACAACAACCCAGCATGTCCCTGAGAACAAACAACTCCCTTGGTAATGGACATTAGCTTATTTATGCTCCTCCTCTCAGGTGGCTGAGTGTGAAGTGAAACAAGGCCACTAGAGTGCTTTAGTACAGGGTCTCCGCTGGGTGACTACTGTGCCACAGTTTGGCTCGTAAGTGCACTTGAAGCATTTCTTTGGATTGGATGGGGAAGGAACCGTCTGCAAAATTAGATTAATGGTCTGAATATACAAATTTCTGTTTAGAAAATCTGAATGATTCAAAAGCTGGATTCAAAGGCAAGACTGAAGTTAGTATGGCTGCCAGTGACAAGACCCAAACTCATATGGGAAGTAGAGCGAAGACCGTCAGGAATGACAACACAGAAGGGTGTCAAGAAAAGTAGAGTCTGGGACTGAAACTAATGGGGGGGGACCATGGTTCCACACCCCAAAATTAATGCATTCCCCCATAAACCAGTACCTAATACACTGATGCCAGTGTTGTAGCAGCTAAATTTTGCAGGGTCTAAAGGAGCTAAGGGGAAAGAAAACAAACAAACAAACAAAAAAAAAAAACAACCTTTGTTTACTTCCTCTTGATGGCCATTAAAAATCCTTTAAAAATCTACACTACTCTCCAAAAAGTGAAAGGCACTTGAGTGCTTCAGTTGCTGGTTGTAAAGCAGACTTTGGTCCAGAGTCAGAAGCTGGGTGTCACTTCACATGTTGTTAAAAAGACTGTGGCAGTTCCCATACCAAAGCTCAGCAGCTGAGCCAGCACTACACGCCCTGACCCCGGGCGTGACCTGCAGAACAGGCCGGGCTGACCTTCCTCTGACTATCCACTGGCCAGTTAGCAGCTGCGAGCCAGCCAGATAAGAGACGTTCCTGTTTATCTGGTATAAACATAAGCCACAGTGAGATGAGCAGCGAGCTGGAATAAGTGAAGGCTTCTGAGGAAGTGAGGCGCCGACACTCAGCAGCTGCCACTTGTACAAGTTTATGACCAACTTCTCTCCTCTCAAACATGGTTGCTATGATGTCAGAGGAAGCGAAGAGGAGAGATGACAGGTTTAAGTCACATCTTAGCCCATATGCTGGTAATACCACACTGCAAATACTCAAAATTAACAGCTATTAATAGGCTTGGCTAGAAATAGAAATTGATAGGTTGAGGGTGGGGACGCTACATCAGCTGTAGCATCCATGACAAACACAATCCCGGTCTGAGAAGAGGAGTGGTATCCCACTAGCAGACAAGCTGGTGTTTCCCTTAACATACCAGTCGCACTCCCTGATGTGTGTCCTCCCATGACCACAAAAGGGGTCCTAACACTGCATGGTCCCAGCAGGCACCAGAAAGGAGAGGACAGGAAGTGATTCAGCAACACATGAAAGGTGGTGGGGCTGCTCTGCTCACACAGGGGAGAAAAAGAAAGAGGATAAATATAGATAGGATTGAGAGCCAGTCACTGAGCTGCGTCAGAGGAGGATCCCATTTCAGGGCTGCTGTCGAGCCTGCAATGGATATGAGGGACAACCCTGTGGGTCCACTATGTGCTGCTCCTTTTAAGGGAAGGGACAGCCAGTCAGCCTGTCAACCAGAAAGGCCAGGAACGTTCTGTCAACGAGACCAAATCCTCGGTCCTGTCAGCCTCCCACAATAGGCTGAGTATTTTGAGATGTGGAGGTCACTGGTAAGGCTTTGCAAAAGATTTAAGAACAGGGGAAAAATAAACTCCTCAGACACACAGGAACCCATTTAACTAATGCCTCAACTGTTTTGCTGCATATTTCCACTCAGAGCTGGTCTCCACTGATGCAGGGCTGAGCAAACTGGATAAAGAGGGGGGATGGGCACTCGCCCTATATGGAAATTCACAGTGAAAAATAAAAATGCACACATTTTCTCTTGCATTGTTTACAAATCAGAGGCACTGCCAACATATTGGGGAGAGCACAGATGTCTCATAGAGATCATTACATTTCAAAATGAATTAAAACAAACTCCTGGTCTTTCCTTCATTTGTGACTGAAGGTTCCCTCCCCATTGACCTCTACATTTTAACACCAGTGCTCAGCTTTTTTTCTTTTTTTTGGGGGGGGGGGGGG